TCTCAAACTGCCCCACCACCCCATCTCCACCCATTTCCCTACATTCTCTGCAGGGGAAAGGTCTACAACCCCAATTCATAGAGATGGGAGGGAGCGATCCCTATGTCTATAGCAGACTTCATCCACTAGGCGTCAGATCATTTCTAGAGTCAGAATGCTAGAGAGTCTGGTGTGTAGCCGGAAATGTCCTCCCCCATTGGTAGGAATCTGTTGTGTAGCAGGAAATGTCCTCCCCCATTGGTAGGAATCTGGTGTGTAGCCGGAAATGTCCTCCCCCATTGGCAGGAAGTCTTGTGTGTAGCCGGAAATGTCCTCCCCCCATTGGAAGGAATCTGGTGTGTAGCAGGAAATGTTGTCCCCCAATGACAGGAAGTCTTGTGTGTAGCAGGAAATGTCTTCCCCCAGCTGGCAGCTCTGCAGATGTTGTGTGTGTGGAGCTCTGCGGGGTCTCTTCTCGCTCTGGATGGACAGATCAATCAGTTTGCCCGGAGGGGGAACAATGACCCAGATATCCCCTATCAATAAAAGGGGGGAGGGGAGGGAACTGGGGCACATGAAATGGAAGGGGCAACTTGTACCAGGCCGGGGGCAGGGACATCATATAAGGGAAAACTCCTCTACTTACATAAGCGGGAAATCACCGCGGTCAGTCATGTGACCGGCATTTCCAAATCTCATTGGACTCATCTGAATATACACTATATAGCCAAAAGTATTGGCCCCTCCCAATCATTGGATTCAGGTGTTCCAATCCCCTCCATGGCCCCCGTTGTATAGGACGAGGCCCCTCCCCCTCCATGGCCCCCGTTGTATAGGACGAGGCACCTCCCCCTCCATGGCCCCCGGTTTATAGGACGAGGCCTATACACCGGGGGTTTGGGGGTCGGGGCTCCGCCCCTTAGCTCCAGTGAAGGGAACTCTTAAGGCATCAGCACACCAAGACATTTTGGACAATTTCATGCTCCCGACTTTGTGGGAGGAGTTTGGGGACGGCCCCTCCCTGTTCCAACATGAGTGCGCACCAGTGCACAAAGCAAGCTCCATAAAGACACGGAGGGGGG